TTATTAAAAACAGCAGCCGGAAACCTCCATCCAGGCTGCCGTACAGCCCCGTGAGCCTGCATCGAGGCGTCGCCTCTCCAGTTCCGAGGGGGCCAGCTCGGTTTGCGGTTTTCCTTTGGGTCCGGTGTCTGGGCTCCCTTACCTGTCCCTGGCCTGGGTGAACCGCAGCCGCCCGGAACGGAGATGAGAGTGGAAATGCTCTCCTCCGTGCGGTGATACATCATGCAAACGGGTGACACCAGTTTAACCAATAAAACAATTTGAATCAATTAGCCGGCTGAGGAGAGTCCCGACGTGTAAAATGCATGTCAGCTCGAATAGGAAAGCATTGATTAACTCGGCCCCGACCTGCCGCCTCGCACCACCACTGGCTCCTCCCAGAGCCTGCCAGGGTCTCAGGGGCAAGGACAGGGACTGACAAGAATCAGGTGCCCGTGGTCCAAGAGAGGGAAATGGAAGGGCAGTGAAGAACCACCAAGAGACTTTTTCAAACTGAGAAGAAAGCAGAGTCAGAGACATAGTGGGTGGCAAAAAGTTGCTCACAAACTCAAAACATATAAACAAGATGTAATTTTGTAGTCCAGCTGCAGATTCTCTGGAATGTGGAGTCTGGCTTTGAACAACTGTTCTCCACCCGGTGCACCTTCCAAAAATATAATTGGTCTGACAGCCCACACATCCACCCCAGACTCATTGAGAAAATAAAATTCTGAGCTACCTTAGAATTATTCGTACAAAGGTACTTAACCTAACAGCACACCTTTCTCTTTCCGGTGAAATGTTTATGCAGTAAAATAAAGTCACAGGCTTGTGTGGCAGTGAGTTCCCAAAGTAACGTATAAGTGCTTGTGTTTGAAAATCATGTAAGGAGGTGGCCACAGATACCCCCGAGTGTAGGTGGATTCACTTCTCCGGGTAACCTGGGGTGTGAGGGAAGATAAAGATTCATCCTGTTTCTTTCTCTTTTCAAGGAAAGATATTTTTGAAGACATTTCTTTTCAAAATAGGGATCTGTAAGAGGGAAAGGAGTTGGGGAGGGGAGGGGGACAAAGATGGGAACAGTTCCATAAAAAAGGAAGACCCCGTGGTGCTTCCTCTTCTGCAGCAACCAAACGACAATGTGATGCTGCACTAGTGAGTTGACAGGACTTTTCTTCATTTTTTTCTGTTTTCAAGTCTTAAAATCTGCCCCGTCATCAGCCTTCCTTTCTAAGTAGCTCACACTTTCTTTCTTTCTAGCAGCCTGGGCTCTAGAAACAGTAAGTAAGCAAGAAACTCCTTGCTTTTTGGAAGTCCCTGACCCCGGAGAGGAGGCAGGGAAGGTAGGAAAAACCAGGCCTGTCTCTGGAACCAGAGCGCAATGCCTTCAGCCTTAGGAGGGAAGGGATCTGTGAATGACAATGATGCTCTTTTGGCTAATGGGCTGGGGAGACACAAAATGTGAGTTTTCCTTTTTTTTTTTTTTTTTTTTTTAGCATGGGAGGCTTGGAAAGCACTGGAGGAGTGCTCCATTGACTTCAGCACCTTAGGATGGGGACTAATTTGTGCCACTAATGCCTTTAGAAACTAGGAAATGGGAAAAAGTTATTTCATTGCCCTTTGAAACTTATCTCCCCCCAAAAGTCACAATTCTCATGGCTCTGAAACTGTTTTTGGCATTTTGATTTAAAACAGTCACAAATCCTATATCCCTCACTTTTCTGTTTGATCCACTCCTCTTGGTTTTCTTGACTTTTGATGAAGTGTTATGATTGTACATTTTCACTCTTGTACTTACTGGTAGTTTGTTATTAATGTTGTGATGGAGTCTGGTTGGCTTCCCGGATAGTGGAGGTTCTTTGGTCACTTCCACAATGTCCCTGCCCAGTTCCAAGCCTGTGTGTTTATGAGGAAGCAATAAAAAATTCAGCTGATAGTAAAGGAAAAATTTAAAGAATCCTCCAATCTCACCTCCTGTCGGTATTCTTCTTAGAATGTCCTCTAACCAGATAGCTTTTTCACTTTCTGATGAACTAAGGGTAGTCATTTTGACTCCTGACAGCTGATCAATTAGGAGGCAATACACTGACACTTCACTATATCTTAGGGTATGCCTCACTTGGGGGACTCTGTGGGGAGTGCTTTTTTTTTTCTGATCCAAGTTACCTTTATTTTTATTTTGTGCATGCTCCTACACAGCATGAGGAATTTGGTTTTCTGGGAGAACTGGCAACTAGCTCAATGGCGGGTCAGGTTTGGAGACCTCCCTGCTTTCCTGATTCACCTTTTCCCTGTGCTGAAGTGACCTGCATGGGTCTTATAAAATGGGTTGGAGAACTCTTCTGAATGGAGTTGATAAATGCCTAGGTGCATTCACTGGGGTGAATTACTTAACTGTACACTTTCTAAAATAGAGAATGCTACAATGAGTTTCTGTATCTTGTCCTAAAAAGCAAATGTGTATTTGAAAGCAAGGATGCTCTTCATGCTTCCTTCCTAGTTTTTACACTGGGAACCCCATGCAGAAACTTCTACCCCCCCCTTTTTTTTTTTCTCATTTCACAGTGTTTCAAAGGAGGCGCTGAAGCTAATTTGCTCTCCAGCTGACTGTGGTTTCTATACCATCGAAGACACAGTGAGGCTACTGGTTTGTGCCGCGTACCAGAACCAGAGGGATCATTCAGGAAGGAGGGTGGCTCAGAGAGATAAGGGGAGGGGACAAACAACCAGCAGGGACACGGTCAATTTAGAGACGTCCTTCAACGATCCGGGGCCTCCAGGATCCAGGTCCCCAGGACTTGCGGAGACTATTCAACTCTCCACCCCTAAATCTGGTCTACCGCTACAGCACTATTGCTGTTTTTTGCTCTGGGGTCGAAGAGGTTGTTGTCAATTGCCGAATGGTTAGGTGTTAGCTTTCTTGTCTGCTGAGAAAGGATCTCGGTGTTGCTCGCTCTCGCTTTCGCTCTCCCCCTCCCTCCCTGTAACATGCCAGCCCTTTAATGTGGAGTGTCAGGGAGACGGTGACGTCACCTTGCCCGCTGGGTGGCGTCCCCTCGGTCCGACAGGAGTTCAGAGACAGAGAAAGGCGCTGTCAGACTGCGCTCCACCTGGGGCTCGCCTGCCGCGGGTTTCTGCGCGCCCACACTTTCTGCAGTCGAGGGGACGCCCCGCCACAATCCAGGCTGTCGTTCTCCCCGGACCCGGGTTCGAGCGCCATTAGCGCCCACAAGCGCCAGGATCTTCACGCAGAGCCCTCCGGAGTCCCGCCCGCTGGATTCGAGGACCCGCTTGGATGCTTCGCCTCCGAGCGCCCTCGGAAGATGGGCCGGCAGCCACGCGCGTAAAGACATCTAGGGGTTACCAGGTACTCCGGGACCCGCCGGCCCTGCCTGGGCAAACAGCTTGCGACTCACGAGTTGAGATTCCCAGCGGTGGGATTTTCCGGGTTAGGTTGAGCGGCAGTGGGCTACGGTTGGTTTGGGAACCAGGAGAGTCAAGTTGGGGGTCTCTGGCTCGTGAGTTGGACAGGGAGGTTCGCCAGCTTCCTTTCTTGGGTCAACTAACTTCTGTCTCTTCTCCCCTCACTCGCTTTTAACCTCCCCCCCAACCTCAACCCTCTTAATTGTGTCTCTGCTCTGATAGAGTTTCTGGGAGGGGTTGGACTGAAAGTGGAGAGCACCCAGGAAGAGCCACCTTACCCAGTCTAAGGCTGCTGAGAATTCAGGTCTCCAACGTAAAGTCAGCTCTCCACCAGGGCCAGGCCCGCGGAGTGCCGTTGCTTCTGAGCGAATGTTCCTGTTAGCCCAGGCTCTTAGTACTATCACAGGAATCCTTTTTGGGAGGGAAATGAGCATTGAAGGACCATCTGGCAAAACTAGGGATGGTTATGATAGGCCCAGGTATCACTGTGCCTTGAACTGCCATTTAACGCTCTGTCCCCTGGAAATATTGTCTCTGATCCATCCGAAGTGACAAGCCAGGCCCTCTCGTCTTGTTTGATCGCGTCGAGGTTTGTTCAACCTTCCTGGAGGCGCGGAAGGTAATGAGAGCTGAGGATCCAGGGGGCAGCAGGGCAAAGGCACCTACAGGGATAGATGTCTCAGGCGCCCAGAGGGCAAGGATGTGGCAATTTGGGTGAAAGGGGAGGATAGTATATCCTTTGAAATCGCTGTAATAGCAAACTCCACCGTACTTGGCCAAGAGTGGCGATGCTACTGGCCATCGGTGATTTTCCAGGGCAAAGGGTAGTGGTAGCCAGGGCACCCCACATTGGCACGTAGCTGTGGAAAGGTCACTGTCCATCTTCCTAGGGAATGAACACCTTTATTGGTTTTGACTTAGCATTAATCGCAAAGATTTCTTTTGCTTGCTTTTTGTGTACTTTTCAGTTTACTGGATATTTTCCCTGCTTACGGTATCCCAGTGACCGAAGATGATAGCCTTCTTACCGCAGGCCCAAACCTGGGCTTCCGCTTTCAGCATTCTTACAGATTACACCAATTCTCTAAACCGCGGGCCATCTTTTCTCCCCTTAAAGATAAAGAGATCTCTATATAGATCAGAAAAAGAAGTGTCACAGAAAGTGTTTCATCTCAAAACTAAATTGGCCTTTTAAAGCTCGCCACTAAGGATCCCCACGAATTGTTAGTTTCTTTAGACTGTTTCTGGGCTTTACAAACTTGCCTGTACTTACTTGCTCATTGTCATGGAAATGACAGAAAACTGTTTTTAATGCCTACAAATCTACAACTTTAGCGTTTTTAGCTACCTCTATGGAACCAGAACGACTGAGTTCAGCAAGTGGCTTTTGAAAGACTGAAAGTGGGGTGCCCTATTTTGGTGCAATCATGCATAAAGCTTTGTATATTTCCCCATCTTTCAAAAAAATTAATTACAGTATCAAAACATCTAATGGCAACAATGGGGAGAAGGGATTTCGTTTGGCTTTAATAAGTTGTGTCTCAACCGGTAGCGTATTTCCCCCAAGGAAACCACAAATACCACAAAAATCATTTTTGTAAAGGGCTGGGTTTACTTTTTAACCAAAATCAATCTATTTTAAAGCAAATGTAAATGGTCTCTCTTTTTAAATTTGGGTTTCAGTGGCCAACCCCCAGTTTTCCAGAACTTTTATAATCTGCAATAGTTACAATTGTCATCATTACTTCCTAATTTCCCGTGGGCATGTCATTGTTTTCTAACAACTTCTATACACCGCGGATAAGGTTTTGCGTTTCTTAGGAACTGATTGCATTCTTTTAAACAGTTAATTTTCTTTGGATGTTTAGAACAGAAGAAAAGTTCTTCCCAATCCCTACATTTCCAAAGGGTGACCTTGAAGAAAATTAAGAGAAATGACTTCCTGTATCTGAAACTTAGTTCCTTTGCCCGGCGCTAACCATGTCTTGACCAAAGCAAGAAAGTTCTGACAATTCTTTAGTTAGCGATCCAACCCATCCCTCTGTCTTAGCACTAGTCAACGCTTTCTCCTTTCCATTCCAGTCTCGAAGGCAGACCGGGAGGGCTCGGCCCGGGCTTCCGCGGCGGAGGAAATGGCTTCCAGCCCGCTGCCGGGGCCCAACGACATCCTGCTGTCGTCGCCATCGAGCGCCTTCCAGCCCGAAGCACTGAGCCAGCCGCGGCCGGGCCACGCCAACCTCAAACCCAACCAGGTGGGCCAGGTGATCCTCTACGGCATTCCCATCGTGTCGCTGGTGATCGACGGGCAGGAGCGCCTGTGCCTGGCGCAGATCTCCAACACTCTCCTGAAGAACTTCAGCTACAACGAGATCCACAACCGTCGTGTGGCGCTGGGCATCACGTGCGTGCAGTGCACGCCGGTGCAGCTGGAGATCCTGCGGCGCGCCGGGGCCATGCCCATCTCATCGCGCCGCTGCGGCATGATCACCAAGCGTGAGGCCGAGCGCTTGTGCAAGTCGTTCCTGGGCGAAAACAGGCCGCCCAAGCTGCCCGACAACTTCGCCTTCGACGTGTCTCACGAGTGCGCCTGGGGCTGCCGCGGTAGCTTCATCCCCGCGCGCTACAACAGCTCCCGCGCCAAGTGCATCAAATGCAGCTACTGCAACATGTACTTCTCACCTAACAAGTTCATCTTCCACTCCCACCGTACGCCCGACGCCAAATACACGCAACCGGACGCAGCCAACTTCAACTCGTGGCGCCGTCATCTCAAGCTCACCGACAAGAGCCCCCAGGACGAGCTAGTCTTCGCCTGGGAGGACGTCAAGGCCATGTTCAACGGCGGTAGCCGAAAGCGCGCGCTGCCTCAGCCCGGCACGCACCCCGCCTGCCACCCGCTCAGCTCGGTCAAGGCGGCCGCCGTGGCAGCGGCGGCTGCGGTGGCTGGAGGCGGGGGTCTACTGGGTCCGCACCTGCTGGGGGCGCCCCCGCCGCCGCCGCCGCCGCCGCCTCTGGCCGAGCTGGCGGGCGCACCCCATGCCCACCACAAGCGGCCGCGCTTCGACGACGACGACGACTCGCTGCAGGAGGCGGCCGTGGTGGCCGCCGCCAGTCTTTCGGCCGCCGCCGCCAGCCTCTCGGTGGCCGCGGCCTCCGGCGGCGCCGGGGCGGGAGGAGGCGGCGCCGGGGGTGGCTGCGTGACCAGCGTTGGCGCCGGCGCGGGCGCGGGCGCGGCGGCTGGCGCCAAAGGCCCGCGCAGCTACCCGGTCATCCCGGTGCCCAGCAAGGGCTCGTTCGGGGGCGTGCTGCAGAAGTTCCCGGGCTGCGGGGGGCTCTTCCCGCATCCTTACACCTTCCCGGCCGCAGCCGCCGCCTTCGGCTTGTGCCATAAGAAGGAGGACGCGGGCGCTGCGGCCGAGGCCCTGGGGGGCGCGGCCAGTGCCGGCGCGGCGCCCAAAGCTGGCCTGTCCGGCCTCTTCTGGCCCGCGGGCCGTAAGGACGCCTTCTACCCGCCCTTCTGCATGTTCTGGCCTCCGCGGACCCCAGGCGGGCTTCCCGTGCCCACCTACCTGCAGCCCCCGCCCCAGCCGCCCTCGGCGCTCGGCTGCGCCCTTGGAGAAAGCCCGGCCTTGCTGCGCCAGGCCTTCCTGGACCTGGCCGAGCCCGGCGGCGCCGGCGGGAGCGCCGATGCCGCGCCCCCGCCGGGTCAGCCCCCTCCGGTCGTGGCCAATGGCCCGGGCTCCGGCCCTCCGCCTCCTGCTGGGGGCCCGGGTGCTCGAGACACTCTCTTCGAGTCGCCCCCGGGCGGCAGCGGCGGGGACTGCAGCGCGGGCTCCACGCCGCCGGCCGACCCCGGAGCAGTGTCCGGTGCAGGCGCCGCGGCCACCGGCGCGGGCCCTGCGGGAGCCCGAGGGCCCGCACCCCACCACCCGCATCTCCTGGAGGGGCGCAAGGCAGGCGGAGGCAGCTACCACCATTCGAGCGCCTTCCGGCCGGTGGGCGGCAAGGACGACGCAGAGAGCCTGGCCAAGCTGCACGGGGCGTCAGCAGGAGCGCCGCACTCGGCCCCAGCGCATCACCACCATCACCATCACCACC